TTTTTATTTAATTTGAATTCAATATTTTTATAATTTATTTTATTTTTACCATTTTAATTTTAGAATTTTCAATTAAAATATAAACTAACAAAAGTATTATTATCAAGTTTAAAAGTTAAAATAAGTTGTCTAATCATTAATTATTCATATTTTTTAAAACTAATTAAGTTAAAATTTTATTTAAAATTTAATTATAGTGATTAGTCTGTTTCTATTTTTGGAGCATGTTGGTATAACATGAATTTAAAGTTTTAAAAATGAGAAGAAGAGTAACATACAATTATTTCCTTTGACTTATAAAGTTAGAGATGTCAATCGGGCAGGTTGGGTGGGTTTCGGGTTATCGTCACTTGGGTCCAGGTTTAATGAGTTAGGTAATTTTTTCGGGTCATTCGGGTTATCGTTTATTTTTCTGATCAAATCGGGATCGATCGGATTGGACAGGTTATTGGGTTCATGTCAAGTTTTGACAGCTTTACTTATAATTAATGGGTCACGTGCAACGCGCGTGGGAGTGAAGACTAGTAATAAATAAAAAGCAAAATAGCACTACCTTATAAATTACTATAAATTACATTCCTAAAAAAAATTATTAAGTAATAAGAATTTAATTTAATCAGTAAAATGGTAACCTAACCTCCATTATTATTAAAACCTTTAATATATTTTTTATATAATAACCATAAGTTTTTCATAAACAAATTTTTTGGTAACCATGTATTATATCTCCATTATTATTATCATGATGAAATGGTTATTAGAAGTTTTTTTTTCTTGAATGATTATTAGAATATTTTGTAATGTGTTTTTGTTTAATGTATACATTGGACTCACTAATCTAGAATTCTTGAAGCGTGCAATGTCAAACTTTAAATGAAAAAATCCTCCCAATTTTTTTTTTATCTCCATTCACAATACTTGAATTCAAGATTTTTGCTTATATTCATTGACATTGGCATTTTTCATTAAATCCGTTGGTTCTTTTTTTTTTGGCCGAAACAACATAATATATTATTAATAGTAGAATAAGTCATTACAACTGGTCAAAGAGCTAGGGACGAGAAAAACAGAAATCCCAGTAGCTCTTTAACAAAACAGAAGATAAACTAAGGAGGGGCTGGAACACCATCTTTGTCGCAGATGTAGAGTAATTGGGATGGGGGTCGAGAAACCCAATCAAGAGGGCACATCCCTTTCCTCATAGAAGTCGCAACCCAGTTGGCTGCCATATTTGCTTTCCTACCAATCCAAGAGATATCCACAGTAGAAATCAGGGCCATAGCATCTTTAATATCTTTAACAATTGGCAGAATTTTCCAATCTAGAACATAGTCCTTGGGAGAACTTGTAATACTGCGCTGCACAACCTCAGAATCTGTTTCAATAGCAAAATGTTCAAACTGACGATCTTTGGCAAGAATAAGAGCTTCTTTAACAGCAATGGCTTCCGCCTCCACACTAGAAGTTACCAAGAGAGGCTTAGCAAGACCATCTATAATTCTGCCATTGCAATCTCTAACAATGACTCCACAAGCAGCAGTACCTGTGAGTTCATCGAATGCACCATCGCAGTTAATTTTCAAATGGCCAACAACAGGTTTCTGCCAAATAGCATTAGCACTTTCCTTACTATGAACTTTGGCTGCTGTATTCCTATACTCTTTAGCTTTTTGAAACTCAAGGACTGCTTTCTCAGCGACATAGATAACATGCTCAACACAGAGGCCTTTCTTTTCAAAACATGCAGCACACCTAGCCTTCCAAATCTGCCAACATATAAAAGCTATTATGGCCTGCAACTCAATTCTAACTGATTCTCTAACACCCTTCATATTAAGAACTTCAAAAATCCACACATCAAAAGTAGTAATCCTTCTCCTATCAATCTGGTAGTTAAGACAAGATCCAAACCAAACACACTGGACCCAATCACATTCCAAAAATAAGTGCTCAATTGATTCTTCCTTTTTTAAACATAAAGGGCATATAGGAGACACACAACATTTCCTTTTCCAGAGATTGTGAAAAGTAGCTAGACTATTGGAGCAGGCTCTCCACAGAAAATTTCTAATCTTATTTGGAACAGGTAGACTCCAGATAAGCTTCCAAGTATGGCTACTGACCTGATGTGAAGAGGAGGAAGTAGACAGGATTCTTGGGGCTTGATCCTTAATTGCAAAATACCCTGATTTTACAGAATAAATACCATCCTGATTATGAGGCCAAACCACCCGGTCCTCTTCATTGCTGTGGGAAATAAGAAGTTTCTCTATATTGTTGATTATAGCAGGTTCCACCTCTTGCTTGATAGCCTTCAGCTTCCAAATCCCTTCTTCCTTGTCCATTATTTCTGCTACTTTCCTCGGGAGGTTACCACCAATGATTTCTCCTTGCTGTTTAAGATAATCATATCTCGGTACCCATCTATCCTTCTAGATATCAACCTTCTTGCCATTGATAACTTGCCATCTTATATGCTCTTGTAATACCTTCCTGCCTTCAATGATGCTATCCCAAGACCATGAAGCTCTTGATATTTTGCGGGCCTCCATAAAGTCACAGTCCTTGAAGTAGAGAGCTTTGAGAATTTTAACCCAAAATGCATTAGGTTGGGTTAGAATCCGCCATCCTTGCTTTTCGAGGAGGGCCCTATTGAAGTCTTCTAGATTTCTGAAACCAATGCCTCTTTTCTCCTTCCCATTTGTGAGCTTTTCCCAACTTAACCAGTGTATTTTGCTACTCTCATCACCTTGTCCCCACCAAAAACTGGCCATATCAGAATTAATTTCTCCACATAACTTCTTAGGCAACTTGTAGCCAGACATAATATAAGTAGGCAGCGCACTAGCAACCGATTTAATGAGAACTTCCTTACCACCTTGAGATAGCCAGCATTGCCTCCACCCTTGCAGCTTATCTTTAATCCTCTCCTGGATAAACTTCATTGCTTGACATTTAGTTTTACCCCAAAGGTTAGGCACTCCCAAATATGTTCCAGGGTTAGGTGCACCAACAATCTGCAGAGAAGCTTCAACTTGAAATCTGACATCAGCAGGAGTGTTGTTGCTGAAAATTATACTAGATTCCTGCAGGTTCACCAGCTGGCCCGAGGCATCACAATAAGCTTTGAGGATCCAAGTCATGCCATCACAATTCTCCTTAGTAGCTGCAAGGAAGAAAAGAGAGTCATCTGCAAAGAGCAGATGGGTTAGAGGAGGACAATACCTACTCAAATAGGTACCATGGAGGACACCAACAGACACGGCTGAGTGGACCATTCTAGACAAGACATCGACAACAAAAAGGAAAAGATAAGGGGAAATAGGGTCCCCTTGCCTAAGACCTCTACTAGGAATTATACTACCAGAAGGCTTATCGTTGATAACAAGAGTATATGAGACCGTAGAAAGACACTCCATAATCCACTTAATCCATTTTTGACAAAAGCCAAACTTTTCCAGAATTGCTTCCAAGAAACCCCACTCCACCCGATCATATGCCTTGTTCATATCCAACTTAAGGCCCATATAATATTTCTGACCCTTCTTCTTGAGCTTAAGGTAATGAAATGCTTCAGAGGCTATCAGGATGTTATCTTGGATCTGCCTTTCCCCAACAAAGGCACCTTGCTCCTGGGTGATGATAGAATCCATATAGGGTTTGAGTCTGTTGGTTAAAATTTTGGAGATAATTTTATAGACAAAGTTGCAGAGACTGATAGGTCTAAATTGGTTTACAGATTCTGGGTTTTTGGTTTTAGGGATAAGGATGATATTAGTGTTATTAATCTCGTGAAGCATTCGACCAGAGGAAAAGAAACTCTTAACAGCTGCACACACCGCCTCCTTCACAATCTCCCAATATTTTTGATAGAAAGTGCCATTGTACCCGTCAGGGCCTGGGGCTTTATTAGCCCAAAGTTGAAAGGCTGCAATTCTGATTTCTTCCTCAGAGATATCTCTAGTGAGCTCCCCATTCATATGATCAGTTACAACCCTAGGAACATGTAGCAGAACTTGGTCCCAATTCTTAGAATTGTTAGAAGTGAAGAGATCAGAATAATAAAGCTCGAATTCCTCAACAATCTTCTTTTCCTCTTCGATCCATTCACCATTGTCAGATTTAAGATTGAGAATTTTGTTGGTCTGTCGCATCTGAATAGTAGTTTGATGAAAGAACCTGGTATTAGCATCCCCATCCTTGAGCCACTTGATTCTAGACCTTTGATACCAGTACTGCTCTTCTTTACTCCATGCTTCCTTAAGTTGAGAAATAAGTTCCTCAACCTTAATACAGCTTTCAACAGAACACTCATTATCTTGGATGGCAGCAATTTTCTGTTTTAAACATTCAATGGCCTCCTTATTATTGGGGAAAGCCTTTCTGCTCCAATCCAAAAGGGCTTTCCTACAGCTATTCTGTTTTTGCACCAGGATATAGGATTTAGAACCCATAAACTCATTGGACCAGCCATCCCTAATAACTTGCTCACAATGCTCACTCTCAGTCCACATGATCTCAAATTTGAAAGACCGAGGGGTTTTTTGATCAATGAAGTTCGAATCTATCAGAATAGATGAGTGATCCGAACCAATAATGGGGTTATTGAAAACCTGTGTGTTAGGAAACTGCTCAACCCATTCAATGTTAACAAGGACTCTATCCAACCTTTCCTTAATAACTAACTCATCTCTTCTCCCAATCCAAGTGAATTTCTGACCTTGGAAGGGTAGATCAATCAAATTGCAGCCATCAACCATCTCCCTGAATTTCCTAATCTTCCAGTATTCCTTAGTATTCCCACCTTCCTTCTCATGGAGATACAGAATATCATTGAAATCCCCTACACATAACCAAGGGATATTCTGATATTCCATTCTCCTCTTGACCAGATGCCAAAAATGAGCTCTATCATCAGCCTCAGGAGGCCCATACACCCAAAAGATACGACAAACAACACCACTCTTCAGATCAGTTTCTGTAGAATCAATTAAATTCTTGCAGCTTCTGATTATATGGACAGAAACATCATCATGCCACAATAAGGCCAAACCACCACTAAGTCCTTCCGGCTCTACATAAAAACAAAATCTAAACTTCAGATTCCTCTTCAGATTCTCCATGTATTTCCTCTTATTCTTCGTCTCCATAATAAAGAGAATCTGGGGACCATTTTTCCTTATGAGCTCTTTAAGAGCTTGGACTGTCAAGGCTGGCCCCGCACCCTGACAGTTCCATGAAAGCAGCCTCATATATCTAGGGTGACTGTTCTAGGACAGCCACCAGAACCCTTAGAGTTATCAGCCGAAGCTTGCATTGCCATCAAATAGGCCACATCAGCACTAACTTGCACTTCTCTAAGTCTTCCATTACCAACAATGCTAGCTCTTTTTTCTCATCCTTCTGTTCACCATAATCCTGTTAGCTTTATTACTCATTATAACATCAGTATCCTGGGAAGCAACCATATCAACAGCTAAACTGCTTTCATTAGAAATATACTTAATTATAAAGCCATTTTCATTCTCCACCCACATCCTTTTACTACTAGCTTTATCATTCAGCAAGGCATCCTCAAATCTCCTTTTAAGATTTAAGTTTCTAAAAAAGCTCGATAGACCAATCTCTACTTGATGCAGAACAGTAGGATCAACATTCACCACAGTAGAAGTAGACTGCTCAGAAGACAGAGTATCAACTTGTGATTCATAAGCTATACTTTTAATAATGCTTGAGTGATCATGCTCACTTAAGGAAGCAATAAGTTTATCACAACCAGATTCAGAGGAGACCAGGTTCTCCTTATTACAAACTAGGGAGTTATCAACATAAACTATATCCTTAGAAGAAGGGGGAGTGTTAACAGAAGATAAGCTAAGGTTTTGGGAATTAGAGGGATTTAGAGGTGTATTGGTTTGCAAAGAGAAGGAAGAATTGGATATGTCAGAGAGGGGACATTTTTGAGTAGAACAAGAAAGCTCAGTGAGGGAAGAATTTTCTATTAATTGAGAAGAGAAATTAGATTTAGATTTGGGAGGAAAGAATATTTTTTGTTTTAATAGAACTTTTTGGATTTTTTGTGCTAGGTTTATAGGAGGTTGTGTTATAAAGAATGGATTTAGGTAGGTTAATGGGCTTGGATTTAGGAGAGATGGGCTTAGAAAGAGAACATTTAAAGGAAAACAAATCATCACCCGAAGATTCTAGGCTAGAAATATTAGGGGCACACCTTCGAGAACCGGTTGACTCAGTACTAAAAAAATCTCCTTTGTCAACAGAGACTAACTGGCTATCCACATATTCAGCAGTGATTTGCTTATTCAGATCTGAGTAGCCACAATTTCCACTACTATCGTCACCAACATTCTCGATTCCCGAACAACTAATTCCTTGGGAAACGCAATCAACTACACGCGCTTTATCATTGGAAACACCAGAGTTACCACGCGCTTGGCTGACCCTTTCAGAAATTTCAACGCGCTTCCTAAATGAATTACCCACAAACGTCTCACGCGCCGCCATCTTAGATTTCTTGGCCAATTCACAAAACTCGCCCTCTTCTTCCTCGTTAAGCACTGGAATCCCATCGGACTGAGATTCCGGCAGTACTCTGGTTAAGATACCAGCATTTTCATGAAGAGGACCCTCATAAGGAAGTTCAAAAGTTCCTTTCTCATCAACATTTATCAGCCGATCCTCCATAACTGATCTCACCGGAACTGCTCTCATCCAAGGTCCAAAAGCACATTCTCTGCTACCGACTGGCATCGATTCACCACAGTTCTTCCCAGATGACCCAACTTCCCACATCCAAAACAGAAATCTCCTAATTTCTCATACTTCAATCTTACCCAAATTTTCGCCTTATCTTTGCGAGGAACCCAAAACCCAGGGATCAAGGGTTTATGCACATCAAGTTCCAAGTGAAGACGCATATAGCATCTACCAGAGCCTTGATTCCACTCCGGCTTTTCTAGAGTTACCACTCTCCCAATAGAATCACCAATTTTCTTAAGATTGACCACAGTCTGCATTTCCAAGGGCAAATCGTGGACCTGAACCCAATATTGAACTTTATCAAAAGAAATTTCCGATATGGACTTCTCGACCTCCCATCGTTTTAGAATTAAGCAAAAACCCATAACCGTCCAAGGACTATCAATCATCGCTTGGACCATTTGATCTTCCGTTTGGAAAGCCAGACCATAAATTTGCATGCCAAGCTCAGAAACGATCGAGCCCTCCTTCAAACCCCAGATACTACGAAAACTCCCATAGCACCTTTGCGATTGATCGGTTTATCAGAGTGAATTTTACCAATAAGAAGGAATTTAGTAGCTTCCTTCACATATTCACTATTAGACTCCAAACAGATCTCCATGACAACCAAACACCAGGAAAAAGATGAAAACAAATCGGAAAAAGGGAAAGTGGAAACGGAGTACCGTTCTACCGTCCTGTTACCAGGCGCCTTCAATCCTAATCCTAGGGCTCTAAGAGATCAAGAAAACGCAGACACACAAAGATCTAAAGACTCTCTAAACCTAAGATCCACTCCTATCCTAAGGAAGAAAGAGAAAGAGAAAGGAGAAAGGAGAAAAAGGAAGACAGAGGACGAAAAACAGAAAAGAAAGGAAAGAAAAGAAGAAAACAAAGAAAAAGAAAGAAAAACGCAGAAGAAAGACTCAGAAACAAAGAAAAAGCTGAAAGAAAAGGTAGGAAAATAAGAAGACTCTAGAGAAAAACCCAGAGAAACTCTCAGGAGAGAGAAAAGGCACTCTCATGAAGAGAGGGAAAAATAATTATACCAATTTTAAATCCGTTGGTTCTAAATCATATGTTCTTTGATTTATTATACCCTCTACTACTTCTTATGCCTTATTTTGGTTGTGCAAAATAATTTCTTTTTTATATTTATTTTTCACTACATCTAAGTCTTTGACCTTTGTTTTCATTTATAAAAAAAATTTGGTGATATTAAAAAAAAAAGTTTAAGTGAGTAGAAGTGTTTCCACTTCAAAGTCAAAACAGACCACAAGTTTCATAGTTTTTACTTTTTACAGTGACACATACAAATATCCACTAATGAAATTGTTAGCCATAAAATTGTTGGTTAGACTTGAATCCCAAATCTTTCAAGCACAATTCTAAGGTTTTTCAATCAACCTATTTTATAATCATGAAGTTTGAAACCTTCAAAAGACTAAAATAAACCGTTTTTTTTTTTGTGAAAACAAGCAGTATATACCCCGAGGGAAGGATACTCCCCTAGCATCAGCGTCCAATAAAGTCTTCAGCCCATCAGGCGGATCAGATAGTAGCTCAAAGTCGTCATCCAGAACACATGTAACATTAGCCAACCAATCAGCATAAAAGTTATCTTCTCGGTAGGTATGCTGTAAAGAACAATGCCACTCCCTGCTCAACAAAATTCGAATATCCATGATAAGACTTCCCAGAGGGTGTGTAGCAACATCACTTTTCTCAATAAGATGAAGATCTATTGCAATCAGAGCATCAGTCTCACAAACGATCTCTCTGTATCCACATTCCCATGCCACCTGTAAACCTCTTCTATTTTAAATCATTACCTTTTTACCAAATTATTACTTAAAAAAACAAAAACAAGTTCGGGAATTTGTCATTTTTCTGCTCCAAATAAACACAAACACACATAAAAAAAATTCAATTACTACAACATCAAAACAAAATAGCACACTGAAATCATTGATTTCATATCTTTTTCACATGTTTTCTATTTACTAACATAAATAAATAGGGTAAAAACTAAAAAGGTTCTCAACAACAAATTCTCATTATAAACTTGTGATAAGTTTACATGCCCCCTTTGGTTCCCTTGAGGCAAATAGTTGGCAAGTTACTACATTGTATAAGATTTTGCTTTAAAATATGTGTGAACTTAGTTTGGGGTTTTGATTCTAGTTATAGTTTTTGTGTTGTACATGTGTTTGAACTTTTTTTTTGAAAGGCATATGTGTTTGAACTTTGGCCAAAAAAAAAAACTTTGATTAATGAAATTGGCCAAAGAAAGAACTTGATATCAATTAAATCAGAATATTTATGTACCCAATCATAATTATTCCCTCCCATTCAAAATAAGTTGGATTAAAGAATAAAGATCAATCTTAATTCTGATAAAAAAAGGATCAATCTTAATCTAATAATGTGTGTTCAAAAAATATTAATCTAAAATAATGTAAAGTCTAGTCAAGTAGCATCTCCTGGCCTTGTTTTTTTTTGTACGTAAATTTTAAGTTCAATTTTCCTTTTGGTGCAATGTCCCTTAGGGCAAAATTCTTTTACAATGTTGCATTATTAGATTTTTGGGGCCAATTTCATTTTTGGTATCCCATCCGGCATCCAGGACAAACTAATCCGGATTCAACCCGCGTCGCGCACCTGGTTATGATGGGTGAGTCTCCCGACAGCACGTTTGTTCTGGCACAAGTTGCTAATTTTTGTTTTTTCGGCATTCGCACAAGTTGCTAATTAGTACAGTTTCCAGATCAAAAATATACGCTGTTAGATTTTGTTAGTAAAAAACTCAAACCCAAAATCAAACACTCAAACAAAAAAAAAAAAAAAAAAAGGCAAAAACCCTGGCGAAGTAGCCAACCCAAAACCTAAAAAATCATCTCAGTTTGAGTTTCTTTCCCCGACAGTGGTTCCTTCCATCAATCTAAGGGAATGGCGCTTGACCCCAACGCAGAGCAAGAAGCACAAAGCCTGAAAGCACTCGCAGAATCCAAATACAAGGATTCAAACCTCAAATCAGCTTTGAAACATGTGAAGAAAGCCCACCGTCTTTGTCCAGGCCTCGAAGGCATCTCGTCGATGCTCACTGCCTTTAAAATTCTCCGGGCGGCTTCCAAAGCCAGCGGTGCTCCAGAATGGTATAAAGTCCTACAGGTAGAACCCTTTTCCCACATAAACTCAATCAAGAAACAATATAGAAAACTAGCATTGATTTTGCACCCTGACAAGAACCCATATTTAGGATGTGAAGAAGCGTTTAAACTTGTGGGTGAAGGGTTTAGGATATTTTCAGATAGGATAAGGAGACAAGAATATGATATGAAGCTTCGCATTAGGATGCAGGAGGAAAGGATTGATGGGCTGGAAGGGAATGGTGTAGTAGGTGAGACGTTTTGGACTGCTTGCTCCCGGTGTAGGTTGTTGCATAAGTTTGAAAGGAAGTATGTAGGGCATAATTTGGTCTGCCCAAGTTGTAAGAAGAGCTTTTTGGCTGTGGAGGTTGATGGAGAAAGTGGTGGCAATGAAAGTACAGAGGAGGAGGATGTATTGGCCACAATTAGAGGCAGTGAGAGGTTAAAGAGGAAGACTGGGTCGAGGGAGAAAGCAGACACTTTGAAAAGTGTTGGATTGGACGGTAAACAGGGTAGTGGTGAGACAATTCGGAGTGTCGGGTTAAGGAGGAAAGTTAGTGGTGGAAATTTGAAGGAGAAAGAGGTTATTGCTGATGATAGCTCTGGGAAGGCAGCAGATGGTGGTGAGTGGGGTGCAGGGAGATTGAGGAGTGGGGGTTTGAAGAGGAGGACAAGTACTGTTGGGGAGGTATTGGCAAGATCAGTAGCTGGGAAGGTGGGAGATGAAGAGATGGAGGATAGATCAAAGTCGAAGAGGGCTGTTGCAGACGAGACAATGACACTAGCAGAAATGCAGTTGGCAATGAAGCGAAAGGCGAATCAAGGAAGGGAAAAATTGAATCTGAAAGAAAAGGTGAAAGATACAGCTCAAAAGGAGAAGGAAAAAGAGACACAAGAGCCTCCAAAAAGTAGAGTTTCAAATGTTGAGAAACAGAATGCATCAGAGAAGAGTCAGGATTCTGAGATTGAGAGTCAAGGTCCTTCAAAATTGGCTGGAGATTTGGGGATTGTTACACGTTCGGCTAAGAAAAAGAGTGTAGATATGGAAGCCAAGACTAAAGAGGGTGGGAAGAAGAATCAGAATTCAGAGCTCACGAAACAAGGGACTTCTAGAAAAAAAGTGAAGTTGGACATGGAGAAGCACCGCAGTTCAAAGAGTAGGAACACGGATATCATAGCTGTGGAGGATTCGTGTTTCTATGATTTCGATAAAGACAGGTTGGAGAGGAACTTTAAGAAAGGGCAGGTGTGGGCTATTTACGATGATGATGATGGGATGCCTAGGCATTACGGTTTGATTGAAGAAGTATTTTCTGTAAATCCTTTTGAAGTGAAGATGAGTTGGTTGGAGTTTCAGAACAATGCGGATGACAGGTTGATTAGTTGGGACAAAATGGGATTTCATATATCTTGTGGGAGATTTAAGACTGTCAGGAAGAGTTCCATCACCTCTGTAAGTATCTTTTCACACATGGTAGAATGTGAAAGGGCAGCAAAGGAATTTTATAGGATTTATCCGAAGAAGGGCTCTGTTTGGGCAATTTATAATGAACCTAAAATAGGTGCAGCAGGAAGAAACCATTCAGCCAAAGATGAACAGTCCTACTACATAGTTGTGTTTTTAACTACCTATAGTGAGATTCATGGATTGAGCATGGCATATCTTGAGAAGGTTGATGGATATAGGACAATATTTAAGAGACAGGAGATTGGATGTCAGGCTATTACATGGGTTGAAAAAGATGATATTCGGTTATTTTCACATCAGATTCCCGCACAGAAGCTTTCTGGTGATGATGTCCCTGATCATTTGAAAGATTGTTGGGAACTTGATCCTGCTTCACTTCCTCGCAACCTTCTTGCTATTGACCAGGAAAGATGATACTATGTATTTTAGAATCCTTATTAGCACACTGTATAGCTTTTTCTTAATCATTTAGGAGGGACCTTTATCTAAATGCAAGTTAAAAAAACCCTGCAGATTTCTGTGTAATATTCTAAGAGTAGCTGCAAATATCTCTCACCCTCTTGTTTTCTTAAATGCAAGTTAAAAAAACCCTGCAGATTTCTGTGTAATATTCTAAGAGTAGCTGCAAATATCTCTCACCCTCTTGTTTTCTTAATTTGGCAGATTCTGAGCCGCCATCCTTACCTTTGTTAACCATGCAGTTTTCTCTTGTCTACCGTCTCATGTTTTTCATTAACCGTGTAGTTGCAGTCTTGCAATGCAGATATAGATTTTGCCTCTTGCACTCATTAACATGTTGTCTTAGGTGCTTCCTGCCTGTTTAACATTACTTGATAAGTGTTTTACTTTGAGCCTGAGGCAACAATTAACAAGATGGTGTGTCTGTCTGGTTCATCACCTCTGAAAATGGTTTGGTTTTGCCAAGTTTCCAGCATATCAGTTCCTGTATGATTTCCATTTTGGATTCTTCTGATCTGACAAACATGACCAAGTTTTAAGGCTTCTGATTTGTATTGATAAAAATTTGGTTGCGTTATGAAATGAAGTGTATGATATTCGTATACTCTTGAAGTGTATGATTTTCTGTAGTGGGGTCAAATAATATACTTAAGTTTCTTTCCATGACTTGTTTAGCAGAACTCTAAAACTTGCCTGAGCACTCTATAAATATACTAGGGTTCTTATATCTTAAACTTACTGCTATACATCTTTTACTTACTAGTATCATGGCCAGAATCATGAAAAGAAATATGCTTTTGTTGCTATATGTCGGGATGCTTGCTTCTCTAGTGCTGCGTTAGCTTATGGTAAAGGCAAAATCTTTGATATAACTCATAAAATCACCTCTGATTGCGGACCTTTAACTCTAAGAATGGGCTCGGCAAATTTATTTGGCTTGTTTCCAGCATTAAAAATGGCTCCATGGCTAATGAATCTGAGTTAAGTTGGGAACCCACACTGTAAATTTGGCTTGTTTCCAGCATTAAAAATGGCTCCATGGCTAATGAATCCGAGTTAAGTTGGGAACCCACACTGGGACTCACGTTGATGCTCCCAGCCATTTCTATCAGAAATATTATAAGGAGAGTTTTGATTTGTCTACTCTCAGCCTGGAAGTGCTTAATGGTAAGTCTGTAACCTTTCATCAATTGCTTCTCAAGCATGACGTGTTCATATTGTTGGGAAATTTGCTCATCTGGGTTTTCCAACGAGAAGCAAATTAACAATACTGTCTTAATTTCTTAGCTTGATATTGTGCAATTCTTGTTACTGTTTCTCTTTAATCTCGTTGATGTGCTAGTTCTAATGATTTGATTGCTACCCTTTCATTTTCCCTTTCCCTCTCTGTCTCTTTCCCCCTTGGTTAATCAGTTTGTTCATTCTTTGCCTGATGATGATTATGTGTTTTATTGTTTGTTAGGTCCTGCTCTGGTTTAATGTTCCAAGAGATAAGAACATTACTGGTAAGTAAGCTTGTTCCCTGATAGGCTTTCCCCCCTCTAATCTGTTTAGTTAATGTTCCATACACTTACTTTCCCCCTTTTTACTCTTAAAGATCATTCATTTT